ATACTCATTATTTAATTTCTGTAGTGCATATTGGGGTATAGAAGACATATTAATACTAGAAATAAACGACCTTATAACACCAAAATGTTGTTTTTATCCAATTAGGCACTCAACGTTTCACTTTACAGCTTCTTCAGTAGCGTTCACTAAAACACAAACCAAAACTGATTGTATACAGCTTCAAATGGCTTAGATAATAAAATCTATTTGAATCTATAACATGCATTTGTACAGCATGCTTTTGACATAATAAACAGTAAAGCTTATTGCTGAAAGAAAAGTGTTGTTGAAATAACTGACTGCTGTTTTACACTAACTGTTTAAAAATACCATCATTACGTTCTTCTATCCTTCTGTGTATGGTTCTTCCGGTTTCTCCTATGTACATATGATGGAAGATGTTACATTTAAGCTGGTAAACAACACTGGAGACAAGACTCTCATCTTTAGATTGCAAACACGTTTTTGTAAGGCAGTTGGACCTGACCATTATATAACTTCAGTCAGCAGTTCAGATTTCCTGATTATAATTTTTATTTTTTTTATGTTAGCTTCATCAATTATACTACAGATAGCAGTTAATTATTTCAACAATACTTTTCTTTCAACAATAAACTTTACTACTTAATATGTCAAAAGCATGCTGTACAAATACTCATTCTAGATTCAAACAGATTATATTATACAAACCATTTGAAGGTTTGTTTTGTCAGTTTTGGTTTGTGTTTTAGTGAATGCTTCTGAAGAAGGTGTAAAGCGAAACATTGAGTGTCTAATTAAGTAAAAACATTTTGGTGTTATAAGGTTTTTTATTTTTAGTATTAAGATCTTGTGATAATTTTTGGAGTTAGTTTTTTTTTTCTTTCTGGTTCTTTTTTCTACTTTCTTCATCAAGGATATACTGCTGAGTTCGAAATTTGAAATTCAGTTGTGTTGTTTGTAAAATCTGGGCCCAGCCTTTTTCAAATTGTAAATATATTCTCTTTGTGAAAGTTCTGATAAATATTTTTTTTTTTTTTTTAAGAATCCTAGTATTCATGTTTTGATCATTTTTATCCTTAGCACAGAATATTTGTTACAAAACTTGTATGCATGTTTGATTTTTAACATACCACAACATGAAAACACACCTACCAATGACTGATTGAAAGCTATAATGGAAGGAGTAGTGACATAAAAGAATGGCACTTGAATCCGCTATTCACTCTCTTTATGTATAAAACTCTTTCCCTTCATAAAAACTAATGGTGTCAAATTTCAGATATAATTTTTTGACTAACTAGCTGGTAAGTGGTTATCATATACTAACGTATTCATGAGCTGTCTAAGAATCCTCATTTCTTGTCTGGAAACACATTAAAATCTAATACAAGTAAAAGCATGATGAGACATTGATACAATAGTTGGGAAAACTGCAGCAAAAGATCAACAGTCGGTGTACAACATACCCTTCTTACTGCAGCAAATCTTATCAAAATTTGTTCATTACTTTTATAGGAATTTTATGAGCACTATAAATAAGAGAGTAAAACTCCAGTGATCATTGTGATATCACTCACAGCCAGACTTAGGAAGTAATTACTGCAGAGTGTAGAATCGGTTTGGTCTAAGCCCACATTGTTTGTGCCACGTTTCCTGTTTACATGTGCCATGACCATTAAATATCACTTACAATTCCCCAATCTGAAAAATGTTTAAACTAAACAGTTCATGATGTTGTAGTGTTTGTTTCAATGCAAAGTTACACAAAGTGCTATCTGTGCTGTGTCTACTGCAAGGATTAAACCCTGAATTTGAGCATTATACTGAATCATCAGGGAACAAGATTTTATGAACATGACTTTAGTATTATATTACAAAAACAGCTGATTTTATGCCCTGAAAATCCAAAATTAACATTTTCTTACACTGAAAATGTATTTCAGAGAGGTAATTAATCCCATCTCACACAAAACTATCTCAATCTTCTTTCTGCCTTGTAAGCATTGCTGAAAAAATTTTCATGCACAAGTCTATATACCCCACCAATTTCATGTCACTATTGAACATGTACATAGCATGTGACTACTCCCTACCAAAAGTATTGTGGCACCTATATTGGTGCAGCTAGTACCTTCTGCTATTCCTGCTCAATTATAATTTCACAAATTGCAGTCTCTAAACACCAGTGGGGAGGAAAAGTGAGAAGTGTGAGAGGAGGTAGGTGTAAGAAAATGTTAACTTCCAATATAGTATTACCTCCTCTCACATAAAGCTAGAATCCCACATTGCAAAGGTGGAGGGGGCTGATGTATGCTCTCAACCTTGAAACCAAGCAGAAAGTGACTGCCCAAAATGAAACCAAAAAGGATGTAACCAAGTGCAATTTGTTTGGAGAGATGCAATCTATATTAAAATATAAACTGAATCAACTATGTAGATACCCAACCTCAACCAGACAGACACAGTACCATAACTTATCCTAGGCATTAGGAGGTTGAGGATCAAAACAGGTAAAAACAAATATAGTGTAACATATAAGCAGGAATTAATGAGAAAAGGGGTCTTTACTGCACACAAATGAAAAAACAGGGTGGTATCATTTCAAACCCAATATTACAAGAAGGATCTCGAATAGGCTGGTCCCACACCATTCAACATTTGTCCACTGGGAAAAAGCATCCAGGGGAAATAGAAGGAGAGAAGCCAGATTTGGCCTCTTCTCATTGAGTAGAAAATCATAAGTATGTATGTAAATTAAAATTCAACAACACACTCAGGAGGAAGCCTCTATGGTCCACCACCCCCAGTAACTGGGAATTGGGAAGTGGCAAGAACTCCCTTGCTCTACTGGAAGAAAAAAGGGGGGGAAATAAATTTAGTGGGGAGTTGGGAGAAATGTCACACTGAAGATAATGTAATGGGTACCTGCAAGTCCTTATTTTGAAAAGCAGATCTATCCCAATTTATTGAACCAATGGGTCAGGAGGGATGGGCATAAATCTCCTTCTACGTTACTCATGAAGTCCATTAGTGACAGTCCACCATTGAGTGAAACTTACTTATATCTAGAAACATATATATATATATACCACTGGGTATGCCACTATTGGCTTTGCGAAAACACCTCATCTTTACAGTGAGCATTATAGCGCAATCAATAAATAGCATGGGTTTGAAGCAAAGCATACCTCACCAGGCAACACCCACCACAGACGGGGGATCCCATTATCAGTGGTAAAAAGAAAACATAAATGAAAGGAAGAGATAAGACTTACCCCCAGTCAAAGGTGATTGGACAGATAAGACTTACCCCAGTTAAAGGTAATTGGACAGATAAGACTTCCCCCAGTCAAAGGTGACTGGACAGATAAGACTTACCCCAGTTAAAGGTAATTGGACAGATAAGACTTACCCCAGTTTTTATCTTTCTTTTTTATCTAAACAATTGAAAGTGTCATGAGATCAGACAGTCATTTTATCACTTATTTTATGAACAGTTTTATCAGTGACAAGCAGAGTATCCAGTGTTGCTCGAATGAAAATGGCTTTAAATATCCTGGGTTGTTTTGATTAAATCAACCATATTAATTGTTATTTCTGGCAAAAAAATCAAAATTATTTCTTTACGAACTAAATATTTTGATCGAAATCAATAAAAATAACAATGTTAAAAATGATTTACTAAAGCTATTTTAATCAAAGCAAAACTGGGTACATTGCTCCTGCTTCTTATATGTGCTTTGTGT